ATTTATGCGGTAACCAGTACTAGATTGTAGTTGTTTTGCAAGTTGTCTAATTTTAATTAAAGATAACTCTTGACAATTTGTCGCTTGCAAAATTTTTGTTTTTCTCACTTTGTTGTTTTAATACGTTTTTAATATATATGTATATATACGTTTAATTACATATATGTATAACTCCGTCAAGACGAAGGTGTAAATTATGTTTTTAATGGAATTTTGGTATGTTATGATCATTCTTCAACTCGTGTAAGCGGGGTAACTAGAATGCGTTGTCGAACAAATCCATGCCATTTTTATAGAAATTAATAATATGTATAAAAAAATAATTAAATAAAATTTGACCCGTTTGGCTAAGGAGCTAAATACTCCTTCTAGCATCGTTAGATCTACTGTAAAACTTTTCCCTACAGTCTTATATTTCTATATACAATAGTGTCGCTGTGTCTAATAGTGGTCACAGTCGAAGTAAGATTAACAACGTATGTTTATTTTGGTAGATTTCATGACCACTAAAGCTTTATTTAATTACAGAACTTAGAAAAATGCATATTTTCTTACCAATCAACGCCGTGAATATTGATTAATAGTTTTAAATACATTAAATTCATGTATAAGGGTAGGTAAGAAAATTTATAGTACCGAATATGAATGAAATAATTTAATACTTAATTGTGTAAATACAGATATAGGCATTATCTACGCATAAACTCGTCCCTACTCCTGTTTCATATTGTCACTAACGGTTGGTTAAGATTAACGTATCAATATCGCGCTAATAAATGTTTTTAATTGATAGAGAAACATAACTTTCGAAATAATTATTAAGCAAGAATTGGCGGTAACCACTCTATCTTATGAGTAATCATCGCTGAGAAAAAATGTACACCTAACAAATCTAAAAAAATTGAGATAAATTGTTGAACTTATCTATCCTAGTTAATGACAGACCTTGATGACGTCACTCCTTGACATATTAAATTATACACCTAACGAACCAAACCAATCAATTTGCAAGAAAATATAACCCACTCTATAAAATAAAAAAAACTGAACCATCCTGATTTCATAAAATATGTAATTAATTTCGGAAATCGATAATAGCATTTTATTTCGCTGTATTGAAATACTTATTGCCTAATCAGTGCTTATGTTTTGAAGTCAATGAAATGGAGCATCGCCTTATTGAAAATAACAAGGTTTGATTATTTTATTTTTTCTAAACCTGGTTATGTCCACCGATAATGGATATGGTCGATTTTTGATAATGGATTAGGTAAATAGTTGTTTCTCTATTGATATATTTGTAAGCGCCATATTGACAGCGTAAGCTCTTGGACCGTTACCATCGTTTCAACTGTTACGAGCTACGCATTACGGGATTGGATTTAAAGCCGCGTATTCAAACTTTTTTTTTATATTGATACTTTGACAGGTACGATTGTTTGCTAGATGTTACACAACTATTCTTCTCCCAATATTTGACTTCTCCTACCTTTCTTCACTTTGTTCACTACCTTTCTAACTTTCTCTTCTCACTACTGTTAGCTATACTTTGCTTTATCGAGCTAAAAAGGTAGAAATATAAACACTTTTACCAAATTACCGTAGTTTCACTTTGCACAACATTAACAATGGTATAATTACTTATTTTATCACTTTAATATCACTAATGACACAACTCTAACGATTTAATTTATGATACCGATTTACTATCGCGTGTGCTTCTTGTTGTCAGTCAAAGAAGAAGAAGAAGACGACCATGAAATGCTTCATGCAGCTACATTTATACCTCATAGAATGACACTTCTTTTAGTGTTGCCAACAACTTCAAGGAACGACTTCCTTTAGTATTGCCAACACTACCTTTTCTTTCACATTATGCTTCTCAACTCGAGACATTATTGTAATAGTATTGGACAACTTCAATAGAAACAATCGCAACCCTATCAATTTTTAACAAGATTTTATATTTTTAATTATTGTTGTCACTTTTAGTTCAATTGCACGGCGCGGCAAAATACTCCTTTCAACGCTAATACAATACTGCGCATGCTAATATATTTAATGAAGTTTTAGAACACTGAGGTGGCCGCAAAAGTTTTATTTCAACGAAAAGACCCTCATTTACATATGCCTACATGCGCTAGTGTAATGTTGAGCTGAGTGGTATTTTACATGAAAAAGGAATAGTGTTATAAGGGAAAAAGCAATATCATGTTAGTGCCTCAACTTTCGTGTGGCCCAACTGATAAGAGAATATTGGCAACAGTTAAGTCACATTAATAGTTCGGTGGCCTTACTTGGCTTGGATTTATTGCATTTGGTTCTTAGATCAATATAACATTGTAACGATCCTGAGCCACCTGCATCCATCGACTTCTCGTTAAATTATTGTTAAATTATGTTTAAGCTTTTGTTAAGTATTAAAAACAGATATAGGATTTAAGGTCAAAGTTTTTATTAAAAAAAAAAAAGAAAAAAAAAAGCCCGCTGAGTTTCTTTCCCGGTTCTTCTCAGTACAGTGGCTTTTTTTTCCGAACCGGTGGTAGTATTTTGACTATCAATAAGCGAGTGTAATACTCCTATGTTGAATAAAGACATTTGATTTTGATTTTGAACATCGACTACGATTGCCTTTAAAAGACCTCATTTTTTAAGGTGAAGGTGGTTCATTAGTCCATTCCTATACGGTACCTTCATTACTCCTTTAAAACAAATATAATTATACTCATGCGAAAGTGACAAACTAAAGCGATGATATCTTTTTTGTCATAAAACTTTTGACTTGCGCCACAAGAAAGTTGCCCCTGTGATAAAATGATACAATACCGTAAAATGCTATTGTAAATAATCATTCATCGCAACAAAACTACGCACTAAAATCTTTTTATGTGGTATATTCTGAAATATCTTATTTTATAAAAACCTTTCACCAGATTTCTTTTTACACTTACATACATTTTTCTTTTTATTTTTCTAATAATAATAATGGTTAACGTGTGTTAATTATTCCCGTACTGAATTTAGTGTAATTTTTCTTTAATTGAATATATTTTTTAAATGTTTATATATGGAAACTGTAAAATAAATCTGAGTTCCAAATAATCGTCTCCTGTGAATGAAATGTTACGAAAAAACACCTAAATTTTAAACTAGATTGCACATGGCACAATAACTTTAAGATGATATGATTTACTATCCCTAGGAATTTACCAAGAATTAAAAACACATCAATGGAGGCAAACTAGTTACTTTACGTGGAAAAAACTCTTATTACATAACGATTCATAATAAACTAATAACCAATCATAGTAATAAGTTCCACGACTATGTTTATGTGCATCAGTTAGTTGCTTGTTTTTTGACTAACTCCATAATAAAATAAGAACTGAGGCGCCTCGTTCAGGGTTTGTCAGAAACATTGAAATAAAAGTTACACAAAAGCCTATTTATGTACTACAATGCAAAATCTTTCACTGAAAATTGTTCATAATATTGATATTCTACTAATGATCGACATATTATGATAATTCATAATAAATAATCAATTTTAATGCAAATTTAGATGTCCAATCTTTTCCAATAAGAATTACAAGGTTGAAATCATGATTTATTAACAGTAATGTATTCTCTTGATACGGTGAAGATAAACAATGCTATGTATGCATTTCTATCAATGAATAAAAATAAAAACGCAATGATCTCCAGTTCCAACCCACTCCATGACAATTGTAATATAACAATCACTATATTACGTGATTCTCTAGATTTGATTATTTAAAACTCATGCAGTTTTTCCCCCCACCTATTTTTTATGCTGTGTTTTAAACAGTTGATTTGGCTTTGGAAATGATTCATAGTCCAGACCATTGCCTGAGTGTAATTTCGTTAATGTTTCAAATCATATACAGTTTGGGACTCTACCAAGTAAACTGTTGGTTTTATTTTTATGATTAACAAATGAAATGGAAAATCTAATGCCCTTTACCTGGACTGTCGGAGGTTTTATAAGCACCACAAACAGATAGATATATTTTTACTGTCTAATACGTCCAATTTAGAATATCATTGATGTTTCTGCATTTTTAATATTAAAATGTATTCTTCACATTAAATACTTTCAATAATATATCGATTGCCCACATTTTTAGAATTAGAAAGAAGGAAAGTTCGAGTTTATGATTTACCATATAACTTTTATATTAATATGGAAAAGAAGAAATTAGCACGACATTTTCTTAGCTATCAATGCCTAAAAGAGGGAATTCGGAGGGCGAAAGCTCCAACCTGAGCTCAAAATGGATTTTTTTGTATGATTTATGCTCGCAAAAACATCACCTCCTTCAAAATTTCAGCGAAAGGGACCTTTTTATTGTGTCAGAAATGTGAATTAATGAATATGGGACGCACAAAAGCACTGCGAAAGTTAAGTGGGAGAGATGATGCATGATTTGTTAGATCCCCCGGGTCACTTTATAAATGGTACGAGATTTTTTATATTCGAAATGTGACGTCCACAGTGGCATTACGGCGCTAACCAAACAATTTTGGAGTAACGTAAACGAACAATGGTTTTTGTACGATCTGAGGAATGAAGACCTTCGTCGTTGTCGCTATGACTTTTTCCGATTGTTAACATATTACGTTATTTTGACTTCGCTGTGCTTGTCTTTAAATCTTCTTGTCACTATCTCTAATCTTTAATTTAACGTCTTGTAGTTGTTGTTGGGGTGTGGTATATCTCTATTGAGCAGGATACTAAATAATAAAACCGGTCTAACACTAACACTCACAGTTTATTGTTCCACAACACAAATAGTCCACAAATAACAGTTAGAAGGAGAAGGCAACGGAGTTATTTAGATGCGAAGAAACAAGCAGAGAGATAGAGGAAAAGCAAAGCGTAACACAATTAACATAAAAGATTTAAATGTACGTAAGCAACGTTGACAAGCGTCCGTGAGGCAAAGCGACCATCTCTCCGCGTAGTGGCACGTAAGCGAATGGCGAATGGGGCGGTGCGAACTGCGAACGCGCAGCTGGCCGGCAGCCACTGCTCCAAAACATTACCATATATGGTGCGTTAGCGATGGAGCTGCCGGGATCGAACCTTCGAGACTTCGACCAACGTTTAAATGCTGTATAGTGTATAGTGTAATGCTTGTGTTATTGTGTTGTGATAAATGTGTGCGTGAATGGTAGTATGTTTGAATATGTGTGTTTTGTGCGGTCCCTACAGTCTTATTATTACACTACAATTTATTAGATAATATAAAGAATTATTTTGTTATATTCGCATACTCTCTATACAATGAATTATCATACTAACTGCTTCTCTTAATTTTATTTCTAATGCTTAAACTGTTATTAATATCTATCATGTGTATTACATTATTCATTTGATATTATTTAACCAATGTAAAAAGATAAGCGATGGGGAAAAAAGGATCGTATTTGTCCTCGCAGTTTAGGACCACCCCCGCCACGTGGAATGACGACCTGTGCAAATCGTCATCGACACTAAACTCTAACAGAAAAAAAAATTATGATGATGTTGAACTACTCGTTATTTTATCAATTAGTTAAACATGTAGCGTCAGTAAGGCAGCCAGAATTGTAACAGATCATTCGTATATGAAGAAGCAATAACTAGTATTTTTAGTGGGTGTAAAAATTGCTCAATGGACACCCAGTTTTTTTAGGCATTCAAGTTGATCTTGTATAGTTCTGTCAAAAAAGTACCGATGACAGACTACACAACCTTGGTACTAGCAGCGATGGAGTAAAGATACTCAATCGTATACGTCACTCGTTAAATGTAAAGCTCGTCACTAATCTTGCCAATCAGATTTGCATTGAGTGAAACTATTGGCGAACACGACTGTACGCGAAGTTAGTTCACCGTAAACAGTTCACGAGCGATGCGAATTCACAACCGCAAAAGCGGCCGCCCCGGATGCTTGTTTGCAAATGACGTGGTTAACCCGCGCCCGCTTATGCGAGAATTCGCTACCTGCCCTCGTAAATAATTGCACCGTTTGAATTGCCTATAATGTGTTATTACACGTTATGTTTTCCAATAAAGTAAACAAATAGCGCATTTAAGCCACACCATTTAAACTACTATCCAATAAGATTTGACATTCGTGGGATACGTATGTTTTAGTTGATGGTCAATATAATATCACTTATAATAACTTATACCAATGCTTGTTTCACTCCGTGCAACTTGAGGTTTCCTTCCGAATAGGTTTTCACTCTGTTTCGGCGGTATGGCTGTCGCTTGATCTTCTATGGTAAAGCCAAGAAGAATACAAGCAAGGATGGTTCGCTAGAATAAATTACTCTCCCTATCTTTTTTTTTTTTTTTTATGCGAAAATTTGTCAATCGAGCAGACGGTTCACCTGATGTTAAGTGAATACCGCCGCCCATGGACATCTGCCACACCCGAGGGTTACAGATGCGTTGACAACCTTTTGAAAAATGGGCTCCGGCTACCTCACTCACCAGACGAAACGCGAAAGTATTTGTCATACTTCCACTTTACGCTGGTCTTCTGAGGTCGTGGTACTTACCCGGACGGGCCTGCCCATTCGCGCAATAGCCAAGACTGCTGTGTGGCCCTACCACCGTTTATCTCTATCATATACCGTATCTACAAAATAGTTCAAAGTAGGGAAAAAGGAGTTTGGCTACCCTCAGTTTTCTCCATAACTTTGTGACATTGCATCGCCAGGGAGCATATCTGAAAAAGGCCTAGAAGGGATGCTGCACTTTATGTTCTTGTCTTGATGTCTTGCTGATGTCTTGCTTTAAGCAGTAGTGAAAAAGAGTTTCACCTTTAGGACGGGCTACTTAAGCAACAAGGGCACAGTTACCGGCCCTCATTTACCGTCGCCCTTTCGATATGGGTCTTAAACAAACAGTCGTAATCATAGAGAGTAGAAATAAATAGGCATTTCCACCGCCTTCATTAAAATATTTAAAATCTGCAATGTTGGCTTGTAAACAAACTTGTTGTTATTCCCCTATTCTCGAAGCTTCTTGAATGTCAGTATAGGAATAATATTTGTGTTTTCGATAAAGTAAAGAAGAAAGAAATTCATTGTTATCATTTATTGTTAGACCTAGAAGGAATGTCAACAATGAAGACATCTTTGTTAAGATTCGAAAAAAGATCGGTCACATCAAAGAAAACAACGGAATTACTGCTCAACTCTTTGATTCTATACAGTCTTCTGAGCAAAACTTTTTTTTAAATTGATTTATTTCCTCGATAATCAATAACATATGACTACTAATATCTTATACAGATTCTTAAAAACTGCTTAAAACAAATTTATTCGCAAAATCGATTTTTTTATAATACTAGCAGCTACCCGCGACTACGTCTGCGTAAAATAGGCTGAAGGCGTAACATTCAGACAGAACGACAGATATACATAAAAAATATTTATATAAATTAAAGCCTTTGTCTTATTCTGATGTTTAAGCTATATTATAGTAAAGTTTCATTAAAAACCATTCAGAAGTATATGCGTGAAAGAGTAACAAACATCCATCCATACATACAAACTTCCGCATTTATAACATTAGTAAGGATATCTAATCTCTCATACGTTTCACATCCCTGAGTATTTTATAACTTTGTGGACTGCTCGTTTTAATTCAAATTAAAATAAATCCAGGAAACACGCAAATTTAATCCCACTTCCTAATGTGCCTTTACCATCAGTTACCCTTTACTCGCATTCGCTACATACGCACATGCTGTTGTATTGTTGGTCGACCTGTTCAAGATTATACATCATCATCATCATCATATCAGCCGTAGGACGTCCACTGCTGAACATAGGCCTCCCCCATTGACTTCCACTTCGACCGGTCGTTAGCGGCCTGCATCCAACGCGTCCCTGCGATCTTGGCTAGGTCGTCCGTCCACCTTGTGGGAGGCCTCCCTACGCTGCGTTTGCCGTCACGTGGTCTCCACTCGAGAACCTTTTTGCCCCAACGGCCATCGGTTCTTCGAGCTATGTGCCCTGCCCACTGCCACTTCAGCCTGCTGACTCGCTCTGCTATGTCGGTAACTCTAGTTCTTCTACGGATCTCCTCATTTCTGATTCGATCTCGTAGAGAAACCCCAAGCATTACCCTTTCCATAGCGCGCTGTGCGACCGCGAGCTTCCTTATGAGGCCCATAGTGAGAGACCACGTCTCGGCACCGTAGGTCATCGCTGGTAGCACGCACTGGTTAAAGACTTTCGTCTTTAAGGACTGTGGTATTTTGGACGTAAAGACGCTGCGCAATTTCCCGAACGCTGCCCACAGCCGAGCTGGATTCGTCGATTGACCTCCTTCTCGAAGTTGGATTTGCCTTGTTGGACCATTTGTCCCAGATAGACATAGCTATCAACAACTTCGAGTGGCGAGCCTCCCAACAATACGGGGGTGGGCGTCACATGGACATTTGACATAACTTTGGTCTTTTCCATGTTCATTTTCAGGCCCTCCCGCTGGGATACTCTATTGAGGTCTTCGAGCATTGTGCTGAGCTCCTCCAAAGACTTTGCCATGACTACGATGTCATCGGCAAACCGAAGGTGAGTGTTGTATTCGCCGTTGATATTGATGCCACATCCTTTCCAATCCAGGAGCTTGAAGGCGTCTTCCATTGCATTGGTAATATAGTTTCGGAGAGATAACATCTCCTTGCCTCACTCCCCTCTGCAACGGAATAGCCTTTGTGCTCTGATCCTGTACTCGGACCGACATGGTGGCGTTTTTATACAAGCACTTCAACACTTCGATGTACCGATAGTCAATTTGGCACCTTTGAAGAGACTGCAGCACTGCCCAAGTCTCGATCGAATCGAAGGCTTTCTCATAGTCCACAAACGCTAAGCATAGTGGCAAATTATACTCCTCAGTCTTCTGTATAATTTGCCGCAGCGTATGATTGTGGTCTATGGTACTATAGCGTTTACGGAAACCGGCTTGTTCGGGAGGCTGGAAGTCATCAAACCTGCGTGCGAGACGATTCGTGATCACCCTCGAAAACAGCTTATAAACATGGCTCAGAAGCGAGATGGGCCTGTAGTTCTTTAGCAAGGTTTTGTCACCTTTCTTGAAGAAGAGGACCACCATGCTTCCGTTCCATGTTCTGGGCGTAGTACCCTCGGACAGGACGGAATTGAAGAGCTTCTGAAGGACTTTCAGTACCGGTGTTCCACCCGCTTTCAGAAGCTCTGATGTAATTCCGTCCTCACCCGCCGCCTTGTTGTTCTTAAGCTGCTTGAGGGCCATCCTGATCTCGAACAGGCTGATGTCCGGGATATCTTCTGTATAGTGTCGAGTTATTTTGGCTCTTGGATCTTTAACCAAATCGTCAACAGGCTTGGCTCTTGAGGTATATAACTGTCCATAGAACCTTTCGATCTCTCTCAGTACCTCTGACTTAGTAGATGCTACACTGCCGTCTTCCGTCTTCAGCTTCGTCAACTGGCTCTGCCCAATAGAAAAGTCTCTTGTCCCTTATTCTGCTCTATCGTATCTTTAATACGATTAGTATTAAATTTACGGATATCGTGTCGCAAGGACTGATAAATCCGTCTATTGAGCTGGCGATATGCTTCAGCGTCCTCGGAAGTCTGCAGCGTCATTGAGCGTCTCTCCGCCATAAGGTCGATGGTATGATCTGATAATTTTTGAGGTCTATCTTTCCGGCGGGGTCTAAAGAAAGCTTTCCCTACCTCGTGGACAGTTTCTACTAGCCTGTTGTTGACCTCGTCCACAGAAACGCAATCCTCCAGGATGGAGAAGCGATTTGTGAGCTCGAGTTGAAAGCTCTCGGGGTTTTGTATGTGGGCTGCAGTGGGTCGGAGCGTGGACTTCATTAGGCGAGACCTTTCTAGGTGGACATTAATACTCAATGTGCCTCTAACCATTCTGTGATCACTCCCGGTTTTCACCCTGTGTATCATGGAGACATCATTAAATATCCGTCTCTTCGTCGACAAAATGAAGTCAATCTCATTTTTTGTGCAGCCGTCGGGACTCATCCAAGTCCATTTCCTATGAAGCTGCTTCTTGAAGAAGGAGTTCATCATGAAGAGTTCCTCCTTCTCCAGAAAGTCAGCCAACTTCTGGCCCCTTGGATTTCTGCTTCCATATCCAAATTTCCCCACTCTCAACTCATCATCGCCTCTCCTGCCTAGTTTCGCGTTAAAATCCCCCATGACAACAGTAAAGTATGTTTTGGAAGTATGTATGGCCCTACTGATGTCCACCCGGACGATGAAGTGGAAGCTATGTCTTCCACTTCATCGTCCGGGTGCGCCGAGGGCGGTGCGTAGACCTGTATGACCTTCAACGAGTACCTCTTTGATACTCTGAGTATAAGGATATACGCCGGCCTTGCAGCCGGAGCCCCCGGGCACTAGGGGCCGTGCTACTTTGTCCACCATCATATGGGGGGTACGGACCATAACCCGCCGCGCTGGTCCAGTGCGTGTTGGCGGGTTGCCAGAGCCTCTTTCTTTGATCAGCAGAGTGCACCGCGGGCAGGCGAGGTTGGTTTGGGTCCCGAGAGATGTTGGTTGGGACCCCTTGCACTCCAAGATTATACGCTTTTTAAGATTATCTAATTTCTTTTAAGTTTATCATAAAGTAAAAAAAAAATAACCAAGACAGATCTGAACCGGTGACTGCAGAATGCTAATCCAGCTAACGACGTATTCTTTTATTTGATACATATAAATAAAGCGAAGGCGACCATATGACTTATAAAAGTAAAGTAAAGTAAGAGCCTATATATGTCCCACTGCTGGGCAAAGGCCTCCTCTATACAGAGGTATCAGGATAGTCCACCACGCGGCCCCACCGCGGATTGGCGGACTTCACATATCCTCGAAAAATATTTTTTTTTTGTTATTATTTTGAAAATATGCAGGTTTCCTGACGATGTTTTCCTTCACCGCGGAGCACGTGATAAGTCAGCACTTAAAGTTAACAATTTTATTGGTGCCGGGGATCGAACTCAGGTTGCTAAAGTATATTGAATTAAAGGCGAGCGCTCGGACACTGAGCTATCACGGCTCGACTTATGGTGGCGCCAAATTGAAGTGTCGAATTTTATTCTACCATAGCTGAACCTACTACGTAATAGAGTTCTAGTACAATTAAACTTTCAGCAGAATGGCCCATCCGTGTAATTAGCGCGTTAAAAGCTCCGCAGGTAAGTTTTACACTCTGTAGCGTTGTACAAGGTATATTCATATTTACGAATTACCTTCGACCTTTTGGGCGTAGTATCTAAGTTAGTCAACTTGTACTGTCTTATTGCTTGGTACTGCAACATATTCAGCGTCTTCATTTCAGCTATAATATTTCGACCAAAGTTAGACAGACTTTGTATATTCTACCCATGATTGGAGGTCAATTAGATGCATATTAATTTTTAATAAGAACTGATGATACAATAAGCAGAATGAATAATCCAGTCCATAAAGTCCATGTAATGAACCTAGTTCTACCAACCTAAAGTATGAAACCGATATATAACGTGGCTCTGATTATTATTGTCAAGTACAACTTATACCATCAAGTGATTTTTATGATACCCTTACTGATAATCAGAGAAAATAAATATGTGTCTTGGCTAAGGGTTTCAATATAACTAAATTATATGTCTCGGAAATAAATTGCCATACAACATAATAGCTTCAAAAGTTGCATTTTAACCCAACTCTATCAATATTAATACTACAATTGAATTTTCTAATATGTATAATTATTTGCTTAAATATTCCCTACTCGAGCTCGCGTTCGAGCTCTTTAATCGCGGCGGGAAGGATCAAAGCATGCAGAAGGATTTCTCTCGCGCACGAACTCGACTTTAAGTTGCTCGTCCTCGTTAATTTTATGCGCTCCCGTTCTTAATGATATACTTGTTTTAGTTATTCGAGCAAATTAAATGGTGTATTCTCCTTTGGGAGTTGTAAAATATAAACGTTTATTGCCATGTGTGGACCCATGCCAAGAAAGTCATCATTGATTCATATGTGGAATTTGTTAAAAACCTTTTTTATATGGACAGTTACAATCACAATGATATACAATTCATGCACCTTATTAAAGAAAACCAAATTTTTTTAAAGAAACCCGTTTTTTATTAATTTGAGTTTTTTCTCAAAATGTAACAAAAACTGTTTTAATTTACAAGATAATTATGTCCTAAAACATTATCTAGTGCATTCGCCAAGAAGTAGTACTCAAAGTTAACGAACAATTAGAATCGACAGCTGCACGTAAGTCTTAGCGGTTAGTGTACCTGACTATCGATTTACAGTTAGGTAACATCTTAGTGATTCTCGTGTCCGTGCTTGTTTTGATTAAATTGCCATTATCTGTTTTTTTTTTATATATTGTCAGGAAAACTGTAATAATCGATTCAACCTAATAACTGTCACTGCAATTTGTAAAGATATGCAATATAAGATGTGAAAAAACTGTGTATAAATATTTAATATAGTTTAATAAACAATTATTATTCAGAAATCGATCGAATTTTATTGAGGTGATCGGAATTCAGGTTGAAATAGCACATGTCACCATTCCGATTATAGGAAATATAAGGCCTGTCCGCCTTTCCATTGATAGGAAATTTTTAAGATCATAGAGACACCGCAGGGACCCTCTGATTGAAACATGCAATTTTATTGTCGCTGTTTAATGTAATGTAATAGTTTTTTTTATGTGTGAAAAGTTGCCAAACGGGCAGACGGTTCACCTGATGGTAAGTAAATACCACCGCCCATGGACATCTGCTACACCCGAGGATTGCAGATGCGTTGACAACCTTTTGAAAATTGGGTTACGGCTACCTCACTCACCAGACGAAACGCGAAAGTATTTGTCATAGTTCCACTTTACGCTGGTCTTCTGTTAGGTCGTGGTACTTACTCGGACGGGCCTGCCTATTCGTGCAACAGCCGAGGCTGCTGCGAGGCCCTACCACCGTAAATATAGTAACCCGAGTTGTCGAATAATATAGGTAGAAGATTATCTAAATCCCCTTTACTTTAAATATGGGAACTCCGGATTATGGTGGCTTGGCATTTTGACGCATTGACAATCAGACCAATTTTAACAGCATCTAGGAAATGACTTTTGTGAGGCAATCAATGATTGCTTGAGCATAAAGTTAAAGTTCATCGGCATAAACATGATACGGTTAGAGAGGTTTATGCGTAATAATTTTTTTAAAAATAGAAACTGAAATAGGAGAATGGATACCGCCTTGGGAAACGCCAGATACTAGATTGAGCCAGCTTGATGATGAATCAAAGACATTTACTGACTGCTCGTGCCATCGAAGATAATAAATGAAGAAAACCATATCAGCAACTCGTCAGAAACCCTAAAATTGGAGAGGAGATTTAAAATGATCACTTAAACTAACGGTTATTTTGGTGTTTTTTATGCTAGCCCTAACATCGTCAGAAATTTAAAAAAAATTATAGTGCTAATCTCTGCACTTAAGATTAAACATTAAAACTTGTAGAAAAAGAACGAAAACATTGTCGCCGTCAAGCATTGCTTCAAATGCTAAAAAACAATGTAGATAAAAAACGTTAAGATTTTCGTCGGTGTGGCAATCAGCCGTTTAGCTTAGTGACTAAAGAGTCAGGCCGCGAATGCAGAAGACGTTTTCGTTCCTTTGTACAAGTTTTAATGCCTAACATCGTCAGTCAATTTAAGGACTGGTTAGGTCTAAACCTTGATAGAATTAAACAGGTTGTTACTTATAATAAAATGAGTAACTTACTTGTGGATTCGGGGCTCAAGCACTTTAGAAAGAAAAGGCAGGATGGGGATAGGTCGGTCGATAATGGGCAGACAGTGAAGGGTTGCTAATGCTCAAGCCCTTCGCTGTCTGTCAAACTAGTGTTTGACCTGTGTACCCAAAATATACGAGCAGATTTGTTCGGAATCGTTCTAATTTTTGATAATGCAGTAAAAATAAAAGAAAAATTTATGAAGGCTCACGAAAGCTGTGAAACTCTATTACAAGAATATTAACCTGTTGAAATGAGCTCATTCTTTCATAGATATATTTCATACCTTGACAAAGAAATAAACCTATTTAGATTTATCTATAATTCAATACACGGATAACATATCATTTAACTGAGTTACATAAAATGTAACAAAAGTCAAATTGTAGTAAAAACTAATAAAGTCATCATAAATCATAAAATTCTGCACAGCTGACAATTAGATCCCTTTTTTTTTAAATATTGTCTTATTTCTATGTACTAAAATTAAAAAATATACATATCCCTATGAATATTACTCAATTATTAATGAGTCACAAAAGTTTGACATGTCCCTAACTTAACGAAATCCAACAACTGAGAATAACATAGAGCCAATGGTTTTATTTTTTTTATTTTAGATTTTATAATAATAATTAACTCGTACTTTCAAAAGATGAGTTATAAATAGCCGTCGAGATAATTAACGTCGTTAAAGAGGGATGATCAAATGTCAAAGTGTCTAAAGAGAGGCGAGATTCGTATCGCTCTACGAGTAGGGATCAAAGAATAATGCTGTTCACTTTCCTAATGAAATAATATACACGCTTCGACAATCTGTAGCCAAGATAAAAAAATTAAATTACCTACTTAAAACAAACCATCTAAATAAACCCACCTTGATAAACCGTAATGAGGAAGACATGTAGCTATCATATTTAAGCTTCATCAAGATTATTAAATTCAAACACGGTCAGGCTACCCGAAAGTAATTTAAGTGTGATATTATGAACTCGTGCAATATATAACCAGATCTCAAAAGATTGACGTATATGCTCCCAATTTAAAATTTGCAACACAACACAGAAATAATAATAAATTTCCAAAATGTTTCCCAGCACAACTATTAAAATTGAGATAAAATGACTCCGTTGGCAAGGTATTGGTTTTGGCGTCGGGAATCGTGGGTTCGATTCCCACACGGAACAACCATTTATGCGACTCACATTATGTTTGCTTCGATTCTGGGTGTTTGTCTACGTGAAATTTATGTTTGTAAAACGTCCTTACAACACAGGATAGTGTTGTCCAAATCTAAGGGCAATGTTTAAAAAAAAATAACCAAGTTGATAAGAATTCTGATTGCTTGCCTTCATTTCTCAATGGCTTTTGCTATTTAGAAGGCGCTCACAGATAGCTAAAAATTGGAAAGTCATGCCTGTTGTCTTAAGTACAATGATTCGATTCAGTACCGTGAGTATAATTTGCGATAATTAGATTATACAAGTACATCTCTGCCCCGTATTGGAATTTAATAAGCTCTGTAAAAGGTCGATGACGCTCATTATCTTTACTAACTGTTTGGGATGAAAAACGTAATTATATCTAGGAAAAAGCGCTCTATGTTATATTTGTTGACAGGACAGTTCTTATATGTACTTATCATGCGATGAAACTGATCAAACAAGGACAAGTATACTTCAGAATAATGGTAACACAGTTAAAACTTGTCTCGTTAATAAATAGAGATTTAGGTCGACCCGGATTGGGTAGGCCGTAAAGATGCCTCGGAGTCTAATTGTTAACATGTTTGCGGACCTGCAATATAGGTGTTGT